GCCCTCTGAGTGCTCCTCACTGTGTTTGGTATCTCTCATAACCCTCTGTTTTCTGGCTCTCTTTCCCCGTTCTCTGCACATCTGCTGACTGTTCCTGCTCCCACAGATGAGCAGGCTATCTCCAGGGGTTACCCAGGGACAACAAGCACTACATAACAATCTTACCATTGGCTCTTGATATCTGAGCAGCTGCTTGTCTGGGGATATGAATTTTTTTGCCTTCAGGACTGCCAAATTGGAGCCTTTCTCAGAGCACCACAAGTTCAAAAAACTTACACACACAAAAAGTAAACCTGGTAAGTGCATGGGACACATGAGAGTAATTTTTTCCTAGGAAAGATTCATAGTTCCTGTATTGGTCATAAACCCTGGTATTTCCTAGCACTGGCTGAAATGAGGGGTGGAATAGCACGAGTATGTCAGTAAAATGTTGCAGGTATAGCAGTGCTGCCTCTGGTGGGACAGGTTGGGCTCCAGCCACCACAGCCACTTCCGTGCCCACAGTGGGGTGACCCTCCCTGGTCCCCCAGGCAGGGGAGAAGTTCCTTTCTCCACAGAGGGTCACTGCAGACTGCTGCCCTCCAGCTGAGGTGCTGCAGGGCTCCTCCCAGCCTGGCTGTCTTTGACTGTGCCATAAGGAGGGACATGCTGTGACATCCCACTGCTGTGCTGTGGGAGCTCTTCACTAACATCTGAGACCATCTCCCCTGTCCAGCCCATCCAGAGCTGGGCTTAGCTGGAGCTCTTAGTGCTTCCCTATTTTAACCCAAGTTGTGCTGGCTGGTGAAATTCCTATATTATAGAGTGGTCACTCTCCTTTTGAAGTCAATTCCTTTTATCAGAGAACCACAAAATCATGAAATTACAGAATGGTTACTGCTGGAAGGGACTTCTGCAGGTCGTCTAGTCCAACCCCCCTGCTAAAGCAGGTTTATCTAGACCAGGTTGCCCAGGATTGCATCCAGACAGTTCTTGAATATCTCCAGTGAGGGAGAATCCACAACCTCTCTGGACAACCTGTTCCAGTGCTCGGCCACCTGCACAGGAAGGAAGTTTCTCATCATGTTCAGGTGGAACTTCCTGTGTTTCAGTTTGTGCCCATTGTCCCTTGTCCTGTCACCAGGCACCACTGACAAGATTCTGGCACCATCCTCTTGCCACCAGCCCTGAAGATACCTGTATGCATTGATGTGGTTCCCCCTCAGCTGTCTCTTCTTCAGGCTAAACAGGCCCAGCTCCCTCAGCTGTTTCTCTGAAGAGAGATGCTCCAGTCTCCTAATCTTCCTCTGCTGGACCCTCTTCAGTAATTCCTTGTCTTCCTTGAACTGAGGAACCCAGAACTGGACACAGCAACCCAGATGGGGCAAGGCAGACTGGGGGGGAGGGATTATTTATATTCTTTAAAACATCCAAGTCACTTCAAAGAACAACCTCTGCAGGACTCTAGCTATTCCTGGAGTTCCATGGTCCAGCAGAGGCTACACTGCCACTAGGAAGATTGCTCCATGGCTTTGCCACAAAAGCCAGTTATGTGGGGTGTAATCTCTGACTCCTCTTTGACTTTCCAGTTGTGTTCACTTACATGTTCTTTGCTTCCTAGGAGGGAAAAGGCTTCCTAGGCTAGGAAAATGCCAGGAGAGCAAAAGTTTGATGTATCAGCTGATGATTTAGAGATCAGTGCCCTGCTCTGGAGAGGAGTTTTTCTTACTGAAAAACTACAAAGAGACTCAGCTTCCTAATGCAAAGCTCACAACAGCTCATACTTGGGCAATAAGCAGGTGACACTTGTAAGAGCTGAACTTCTCCTGTTCCCTGCAAGGGAGAAGGCTGGAAACATGGGACATGTGTCCAGAATATTGGTTTCTGCTGTGACACTGTGCTCCATTTTGCTGTCTCATCCCATAGAGAGCCAGTCACTTGTTTATGGATCTCTGCTTTCTGAAGTTATTCCATTAAGTGTTCATAACCTTCTGACAGAGTTATAGAATAGTTTGAGTTGGAAGGAACCTTTCCACTTGTCTGGGCAACCAGTGCCAGCATCTCACCATCCTCCTCACAAAAAATTTCTTTCTTATATCTAACCTAAATAGACCCTCTTTTAGTTTAAAACCATTAGCCCATTTTCCCATCAACAAGCCCTACTAGAAAGACTGTCTCCATCTTCAGCCACCTCATTTTTCTTTGCAGTACAGTTAGGTAGTGTGACACCACAGAGTGATTAAAAATAAACATTTAAGTCTTATGGATTTGAAGATTGTAACCAATTCTATGAGTGCTTGGGGCTTACAGCACTCTGCTGTGATAAGAAAAAATATATAAAAATTTTCTTATCAGTAATTTCCCCAAAGCCGTGCAACAGAGCAGGTGGGGTTTGCACCTAGAGCTTTGCCTTGACTAACCTGCCTTTGTACCTTGAAGTTTTCTCTGCAGTCTTGTCTGTCTCTCTGTCTCAGGCTACCTGATAATACTGCTTCTCCAAGGGGAGTCAAATGCACTGCCTCTACCAACTATAGCCTGGGGGGGAAGACACTATCAACAGCAGAAAGCTGTGTGGATCAAAACCAAGAGAAACACTAATGAATAAATGGGAGTGTTGGCAAGGCAGTCTGTAACACTGATGCCAGCTGGGAGAAATGGCTGGCTGGCTTTGCCCAGCTAGAAGAGACAAAATGCTTGAGAGGTGTGGGTCCATTTCACAGAACCACCTCATACTCATTACACTGGAATCAGTTTGTGCTAATACAACATTAGCAGAAACTGAAGAGTCCTCCATAATACAGCAGCAGCAGCTTCAGTTCCTGCAACCTCTCCAACAACACAATTAACAGAGGGAGCAGACCTAGCAAGATCCTCTTCCAAAGCCACTGCCATTATAGATGCTACACAATTTGTCTTAGAAATGTCTAAGTGCATGGTGATTTGGGGCAAGAGTTTTAGGAGTGTTGCTCAGATAGCATTAAATTGTTATAGCAGGCCCTGATTTAGGCATAAATTGATAAAAGGGACTTAAGTCTCCTTTTTACCTTCTGGAGCCAAAAGCAGCACCAGGACCCAAGGTCTGGCTCATGCTGCATGATGGGATAGAGCTGCCCCTGCAGAGAGTCACTCTACTGAAAATGAAGGTATTTCAAAACCAATGTCAAATATTTGTAATTCCTGGGTTTAGGAGCATGTCTTGCTTGTAGCTTGGAAGAGACAGTCAAAATTACTACTCCTGCCAGCTGCAAGTGAGCATGAGTGTGTTTGGTCACATGTAAGAAAAAGGAGCCAGTTGACAAGAGTTTCAACACTGAGCAGTCTTGGTTCATGTACCTCTTCAGACTGGAACAAGGAGCCCATTTTTGCACTGCTGCACTGGCCATCTGCTGTACCAACTCAAATGATCTTTACAGGCAGATTTGTGTGCAAGAAGAGAGTAAACAGCAGTTTGCCTAAACACAGGCATAATTATTCCAGCCACTCCTCAAGGTTCTTTTGAGTTTTCTTCTCCAGCAGTTATTTCTACCCACAGTCTCCACAACTGAGAGAGATCTGTTTGGTTTGCCCAGCTTCATTTGTAAAGAGAAAAATACAGAAAAAGCCACACAGGCAACCCTGAAAAGCAGCAAAATACATCTGAGCAAACGTCTGAAAGGCAACTCCAGAGTCAATGAATTTGGATCTAAAATGGATATTGAAAACACCCCTTTTACAAAGTACTTGCAGTGACTTGGAGTACAACTTGTGCCATAATTTAAAGAGTTCCACAGACAAACAGCAATATAAGGTGATGCAAACAAAGTTATACATAGTGGAGAAATCACAAGTCCTAAGTATGCAAATGCATGGTAATAATCAAACACTTGGTTTAAAAAGTAAAAAGCAGAAATACTTTGGTCTTAAGTACTTCAGTTCCCAAACTCTTCAGAAAGCCCTTTATCAAAAAGATAATATTTTTTATACTATGTCAAGTACTAAGTGTTATTAGGAGAGTAAAATATGATTTATTGATGGAAAAGTTGAAACAAAATGGAACATATGCAGGGATGGAAAGTGTTTTTCTGAGGGTTATTCTGTTTTGAAATAAAAATAAAGAGGCTAAGATAATTTTAGGGTTTCTCTCACAGAGCAGGAAGCCATGAAGTACATTTAAACTCTTTTAATTTTGCTTGGAAAATTCAAGTTTGGATATACATCCCCACTTGACACATCCAAGAGGGAGGGAGAGGAAAAAAATCACGTAGTAAACTTAGAAGCAAGCCGAACACTTAATCTCCCCTTTGTTTACCGACCCAGAAGCTGGGCTGCACTCCCCTTGCCCACGGGGCAGAACGCCCCGGCCGCCTGCCAGGGCCAAGCTCGCCTTTCCACACCAGCAGCCCTCCCAAAAGCGACCTCCGATTTAAACGTCCCGTCGGCGCTTTCCACCTCAGGAGAGCCCCCCCTGGAGCGAGGCAAACATGGAGTAGCCGTCCTTCCACCCGGCAATATCCCACATCCATCCCCCGTCCTGCCGGGGATCGGGGGCTCCGGGCTGCCCTTACCTGCGCCGCTCCCTCCCTCGCAGCCCCTTCTCCGCCTTCCTTCCTTCCTTCCTTCCTTCCTTGCTTCCCCCTCCTCGGGGGTCTCGCTGCCGGCCCGGGCAGGACCCAGCAGCGGCGGCCCCCGGGGATGCGCCGCGGCCGCTCCAGATGTTGGCGGCGCGGCCGCTCCAGATGTTCCCCTGGCGGCCCCGCGGGGGGCGGGCGTTCTCCTCCCCGCCCGGCCGGGAAGGACCCAGAGCGCGGCCAAAGGGAAGGGGCTCGGGGAAAGAGAGGCTTCCGCGGGATCCGGCGCTGCCCGCCCCCTCTCCTGCCCCGCTTTCCAGGAAAAGCGGCCGGGAGCGGGCAGGGCTGGCGGCCGGGGATAGCTGCTCCCAGGAGCCCGGCAAGGCGAGGAAAAATAGAAAAAGTAGAGAGTCTTTCAGGCATACAAACCTTCCTTTGATCGCTGCATTTAACAGAGGCCTTTTTTTTACTTACACACACACCGACAGCCGTGGCTTTCTCCACGAAAATGAGCACCCGTGGCTGTAATTCCTGTAATTTAGCAGGAATTTATGGTACAGCGCTGAATCCAAAAGAAGAATGTCTAAAAATAAAATTTAAAGAACGAAACCACAGCTTTATTTTCATCCTGTAGTAAACAAGTAAATAAGTGACATTACAGAATCGCTCACAGTGTAATGAAGGGCATCTCACTCTGCATCACCTCTTTTACAACCACCAGAAAGAACACCAATGAAAGCCTCAAATCCTTAATTGTGGAAAAAATCCTCCTTTGAGGTATTTGCCAGGAAGTTGTGATAATCGGGTTTTGAAGCTCTGTTTAAACTACACCAGAAGACTCTCTTGACCCTTTTCCACCCCTGTCAGCATCAAGATCTTGTGTCACCAGATTCCCCTGTGGATGTAGGAATAACCAAGCCAAGGTGCTGCTCTCCCTACCAGTAAGTCACAACTTGAACTGAATTCTGAGACACTTCCTTCAAGTCCTCTAATTTAAGATTTCTACTTTCATGATCCAGAAACTTTTTTGTGGAAACTGGTGGGGGAAATCAACCCTATATAAGGATTAAAACTTTTCACACTCATCTTCTCAGGAAACTGCATCCACGCCTGCTCTTTAGCACAAAGTGACACTTTCACTCTTAGATAAATAGTACTCCAGCAAATACCCCTCAGCATGTGGCAAGCAGATGCCTTTGCAGGTTGGATGATGCAATGAGTACAGAGAAAAGGGCAATAATATTTCCCAGAAGGACCACCTCTCTGTAAACAGTGCTTCAAAAACCCAGCCTCTATGAAAGCTGCTTTCTGGTCTGAGTGACTTGTTCTGCATTTCTTTTTTCAGACAGCAGAATGTATTTTACAACACAACATTAATCCCTGACTAATGAATATCCTTCTCTTGCAGGAGAGTTTTCATAGACTGAGCTTAATCAGTAAGTAGTACTGATAATTGTAATAACCTCTTCTATTTACCACTGTTTGATGCTTGTCTTGGCAGTGGAGCAACAATCGCTTCCTGGGATTCCTCATTTCCATCCACACTTAAATTGACTTAAAAGTCAATCTAAGTGACAACCAATTGTAAAAAACTCCAACTGGCATCCCCGGGGCCCTGCACTTCTGCGAGTCCGTGTGCGCCAAAGTAACCACAGAGAAGTGCATGTGTAAAATATTCTACAAAACTGCTGGAGACTATAGAAATAACAGAACATCTTTTGTGATGTTTTTTACCTAAGGTCAGCAAAAGGCTGACAGTTCTGCCCCATTCAGTCAAGTTCAGACCTTCCTTCATTTTGACCTTACTCTTTTTGCCTTATTCCAAAGTTAGTCAGGAATTTAATTCAATACTCCTTTTGCAGACTTAGGATCCATGCCTGACACACAGGCAGACAACTGAGCTCTTCTCTTGGTGGAGGAATGGAGCATCCACACAGAGCATTTGTTTGGTTTTTCCCTGCTGATATTGAGCATTGCATCTGAAGCAAGGAGCTAAAATGTTATTTCATAGCAAAGCCTAAATGATGTGAGATGAATTTGCAGTAGTGCTTGATCCACTTTCCACAGAGGTCAGCTTAATGAAACATCCCATGATCAAATGCCTGTGGCTCCAAGACCCACAGGTTCATTACACTGCATTTAGTGTGGTGCCCAGTGCTTTTACTTCATCAGAGTTATCACAAATACCAGGCACTAACATCAACCATGAAGTCACAGAGCTGTGCCTTGATCCAAATAATTCATGAGCACATTACAGACAAATTAGACTCTAGATGTTTTAGGATTATTGTAACATCTGCATTTTGGCCCAGAAGGCAAAACTGCACCTAGGGGCAGGTGAGCTGGTTTCAGCCTGGGCACTTGAGGGAACACTACTCTACAAATCCAGACATGTTTCTGGGTGAAAACTGAAGTGAAATGTTGATCTACTCCCCTGAACACTTGGAATCCAAGGGCTGTTTGTATCTTTGTAGCACCACACCTAATTTATAGCTGAGGGAGTGAAGGCCCTCCCACCATATAAGTTAAAAGCAGGTTCAGGACCATCTGATGAAGGTGAATAGCCATGAGTGTCTAGGACCTGGTGGGATGCATCCCAGGGTCCTGAGGGGACTGGCTGATGTTGCCAAGCCACTTCCCTTCATATTTGAAAAGTCACAGTGGTCAGGCGAAGTTCCCAGTGACTGGGAAAAAAGGGAAACATTGCTCCCATTTTCAGAAAGGGGAGAAAGGAAGATGTGAGGAATTCTTTACTCAGAATTCTTTACTGTGAGGGTGCTGAGGCCCTGGCACAGGTTGCCCAGAGAAGCTGTGGATGCCACATCCCTGGAAGTGTTCAAAGCCAGGCTGGACAGGGCCCTGACCAACCTGGTCTAGCAGAAGATGTCCCTGCCCATGGCAGGGGGGTTGGAACTTGATGGTTTGTAAGGTTCCTTCCAACCCAAACCATTCTATGATTTTATGAAATGTACCATAGAAGTGTGGCTGATAAAATAATAGCTCTCTGGATAAAGTGCACAGAAAGCTAAACAAATAATTCTGGCCTTGCAAAGTTCATGCAACAATTGAATAAAGAGAAATACATGCGTTTGCTATGATTTCAGAAAAAACACAAACATTGACTTTCTGGTTTTAATACAACTTCTAACACCAAAATAAGTAAAAAGTGAATTAGAATACAAAGACCCATATTACAAAAGTCCATTCTTTGAAGTGCTATTAGGGATATTTGCTCTTGCATAGACTTTGAAGGTACACATTTTAATCTGTAAAGTTTAAAAATACTTCCAGGCTTAATCCCATCAATGGGGGAGGGAGGGGGAAGAAACATAGTTACATCATATATGAAATTTCTAAGTTTTTTTAATGTTAATAGTTATTAGATATATTTATGTTGTCTGCTTTTGGTTTTTTATGAGTAGGCTATAAGACCTTTGTAAGAAACTTTCAAAAGGAATACTTTTTCTGAGTTTATATCCTGTCATTGCAATGTCTCAAGCTGATTTCTAGCATATAAAAATGTACACCCCCCCCCCCCCCCATGAAAGTCTTTCATCTAGAATAACAAAAACAATCATGGTGATAAAAAGTCAGCAGAGTTCAGTTTAACACTATCTGCATGAACAGAGGAACTTCAGGAGAATTTCCTGAAACAATTATAATTCACAGGTAATTGGCTATGGTTCAAATTAATCAGAGTCCTTTGAACTAATCTAGCAATTTGGCATGGGGAATCTAGTGTAATAAAGCCAGAAATGCCAGGAGTAGTAACAGTAAAAACTTTCTCCCCAGACATTCCTATCCCTTTATTATGATAATGAAGAATGGAGAAATTGGGAAAAGCAGAAAGTCATTTGCAGGTTCCAAATGTTTTTCTTAGAATTTCAGTTCTTGAAGCAAATATGTCTCAGCCCTGAGAGCTGTGCAGGTGAGATTGTCTGCAGTACTGTGCTGCTTTTGTGTCCATGTTAAACCATGACACAAATGCATAAAAAAAGATTGAGCCCTGTCCCCACAGTTCCGAGCAAGAATCTTTACTTTTCCTTGTCTCATCTGGTATCAGCTAAATTAGAGAAAATATGATTTTAAAGCTGCAAATATCAACACAGAGCTCTGAAAGTCATCTCTGAGAATGTGGAATGGAACTTCTTTTTACTGTGCTCCAGCTCATGATGCAAGTTTTGTGTTAGAAAACAAGAAATTATTCATAATGATGAAAATGACCTGGCATTTTTTGATGAAAGACAGTCAGCAATAGAACAGTCAAACAAGTTTACAAGATGTAACTTCTAAATAGCATCAGGCAGTGGAGAGCTCATCTGGTGTGCTCACTCAGGGTCAAATATCAAGCCAAGTCCTAGCTTATCTGGGACATGGAAACCTAAGGCAGAGAGCTGTGGGAAAATGGAATAATCTACTAACAGAAGAAAGAAATGACAGCTGAAAGAACTAGAAACTCTCCCTGCTTCTATCAATTTCCTTAGTCACATCTAGGTGAGATATCTACATGCCTGACTTATGGTTTCTTGTTTTTAGACACCTGGTAGGAGACATTTAGGTTATAGATTTATAGAAGCACCCAGCACTCAGGACAGTAAATGAAGTCTGCTGCATCAGTTAGTTAAATCATAAAGTATTCTGAACAAATGCCAGAGCCAATGGAGTATTCAAAGTAACTTCATCAAATTGTAATAAGAAGTTCCCAGTTCCCTGGAAATAATAGCTTCTCACCTTTAGGCACACTGTGGTGATAAATAGTCAGAGGCTGCAGGGAAGCCACCCCAGAAAACCTCATGAAGAAGCTGTCAGCTCTGAAAGCAGTACGGTGTCTGGGTTAGGTGGTGATAAATGGGGCTTCTAGCCACACACTTAGTCCAGAAAATGCAGAGACCAGCTTCATTCCCAGACGCTGTCCTGAGTTTACACTGAATGAGGCACTAGTCCTGTGGGAAAAATAGCATGCAGCCAAACAATTAAATCATGTCACATCATACACATTGTGTGGGGGAAGGGAAAAGGAGGCCAAACTATCCCTCCAAAAGCAGCCTTAGGTCTGGATTTGTCCAGCATTTTAGAGTTTAACTTTGTAAACCTAGGGGTGTTCTTTCCCTATTTTTAAAAGTTGCAGTTTTATCTTCCTCATTGTTTTGTTAATTTTTGTTCTCTCAGTCTCTCTGGCTCAGTTGCTGACGTTCTGCACGTACCTCGGGTGAGTCAGGAGAGTTAGCTGGGAAAAGCCATCGGGGTGAACAACCCTCTGGACAGAGACACCAGGCAGAAAGAACAGGATGGGGAAACCGGCCAGTTAAGCAATGATATGAAAAACATCAGCTGTAGCCCAGCTTAGGGAGAAAGAAGGAAAAATGCTTTTTCAGCAGGAGAGGGAAAGTGAGAGCTGGAGTGCAGCTGTGGAAGGTGAGAGTGGAGTGATGAGGAGGTTGGAAATCCAATGTCACTGCATAGGCATTGCCTCCTTTGACCCTCCTCCCTTGGCTCTTCTGCAGCACTGCAGGAAAATGTCCTCCTGCTTGCCACGTGTGGTTGTTGTACCAGTCTTCATCCCACGGAACACCATAAAATCTTTGGTGCATTAAAGCTCCCCCAATACACGTACAGGGAAAAGAAAGAGCCATCTTTCTTTTGGAGGGACTCCATCCAAGTCCCAAAGTGTCTGTGACCAGGTGCAATATTCCCAGAAGACAAACACTTTCTCCTCAGTCACTGTCCTCCCAACCACCTCCTTACAGACATGCCCATGTGTCCCATCTCACTAGGAAATGGATCCTTTGGTCTCCCAGCTGGCTGTCACTTAGGGAAACTTTGACCTCCCAAAATATCTGAATTTACAGAGCTCCTGTGACCCCAAAACACCTCTGCAAACCAGCTTGCTCCCAAAGGCAGCTCTGCGCTCTGTCCACCACACTCCTCCCCAAGGATCAGTGGAGTCACAATCAGACCACAACAGGTAAAAGTTCAGCCTGAACTCTTCACCTGTGGCATCACCAGCTCTGGTCCCAAGCCAGGCACCAAGTCACAGGTGCAGAGCTGCTTCAGCATTAATTCACCAGGGTCCTCCTCCTCTTTGCTTTGATCCAGAAGTCCAGCTGGCACTGCCACTTCCACAGTGCAGACTCCCGCTTGTTCCTGCCTTTTCACAAGATTTCCCACAGCATGGGAATGTCCATCTGCCCATGGGTTTGAATATATTGACACAGACACAATATCAGCACAGGCATACTTGAACATGGGTTCGAGCATGCAAGGTGATGTTGGATAGAAATGGGGTCACAGCCAATCAGCTAAGCATCTCTGTAGGAAAAGGTTGTTATAGGGAAGCTGGGGATTGATGGGGAGAAAGAAGGCTGTTTCTGAGCAAGAGAGATGAGAGAAAGCAGAGAAACCCAGAGGCAGCTTGAAAAGTAATAGTTTGTGGCTAGCAGGAGGGGAGAAACCCACAGCACAGTTCTGAGAGATGCAGATATACAAATGTCTAATTGTCATCACATGTCTCCGTGTGTGTGTATATGTATATGTAAAAGTATATATGCATGTATATATGTATAGTGCATATGTTATATAAATACACATGTTATTTTGTACCTTGGTGAACAGGCACAATAAAAATGAAACTACCAACTAATTTAGTAAGCCAGTGATAACTGTAAAAGGGAAAGAAGGTCAATTCTGATTCCATGTCTCCTGCTGAAGTTCGCAGCCAAATCATCCTTTTTCAATTGCTATCAGCTTTGTTTTGACTTTCCTGTGACTTTCTTTCTTTTATGAAATACAGTTGTTTTACCTGCTTTTTATTTCTGAGTAAATATACACATTTACTTGACAGGACATATGAACTGATCCTGTCAATGGGTCCATTTATGCTTTACTTCACAGCCACAAATAATCCCCCTGCAATTAGCAAATTTGTATGTGCTTGGAGAATGAAGTTCAATATGGCTTCATGAGTCCAGACTGCCTCTGCAATAACAGTGGGAGGCCAAGGACTGTAACTCATCTTACCTGTGCAAAGAAGCTGAGTGATTTAAGACTCCTGCTGCTCCCCAGGTGCTTATTTCTGTCCCACTGCCAGATGTACCCTCACAGCAAAGTCACCCAACAGGAGCGTGTCCCTGCCTGTTGCCATGGGAGTTCTCAGCCCAGAAAAACAGCACATCCCAGACTCTGAACCAGACCAACCAAAACTGGGGTGAACATACCATCCACATCCCTTAGGAGTTGTAGAGGAGAGGTTGCATTTGACAAAATACATTTGAAATGTATTTTAAAATGTGGCTTATTTTCAGCTCTTCTGCCTGTGAAAAGAAGTTGTGCTGCTTGGAAGAATAAAAATGCTATTGTTTTTTCTCCCTGAGAAGATTCTATCAGAATAAACCTGGGGCAAGAAATGTATTATCTTTCCTATAGTAAGGACTGGGAGAGAGCTGGATCGGGGTTTTCTGCTGACCACGGGGTAAATACTGCAGTTCCTAATACCAGACTACGCTCTGCCATGGGTTTCAGTCTATATTGATTTCCTTTATATAAAAAGAAAAGTCATATTTGAACAACACAGGGTAAAATTTGACCACTTGGACCTGTGGTGTTGATGACAGTTTTCTCCTTCTGGCACTGTAATTATTTCAGTCTCAAACGCATGCTTGCACTGGACTATAGTGCATGTTCTCACTTGGTATGGACAGACTCCCTCTGCTGGAAAACAGCTAAGAAGGTTGTCTAGCTGATTAATTATTGTAAGTGAAAGAACTTGCAAACGATGTATTCTGTGGCAAATGTGCGATTTTGACTTACACTGTCCAAGGAATTGTAAAAATATTTTGACTTCTTTCCTAATCACTGGGAAGGAGCTAGGAGGTTTTATCCTCAAAGTTCATATCTGAACTTTGTAAAAATTCACACCACTTACACTAACCTTACAATGCACTAATGCACTGAGTAAAGTTTTGATTTATCTTTTTTCTGTATTTAGAATCAAGCCTTGAATAGTTCCCTGCTGTAATCCTAAAGGATCCTCTCTTCATCACAGAGGACAAGAACCTGCCACTGATCTTATGGACGCACCAGGACATGATATGTGGGACAGGTTGGTTCCTTTAGCAGCAATTTTTGAATACACTGCTAAAAGCAAGTGGAAATGGGTACTTGCAAACTGGATTTTAATGCAAGAATTCCTGTTATTTCTCAGGAATTTTAAGAGGTGGAGCTGATATATTCCCTTGAGAAATCCAAATTATTTACTGGATCATTGATCTTAAGGAAAGGAAGGTTACTATTGTTAGATTAAGTCCTCTTATCATCAGAATAACTTCAGCAGGATCCAGGTCGTACACAGCTTTACTTTTTTTCTAGAATAATGTGTTATTCAGTGCTTTCTATTTTTGTTTATTTGATACTAGACAAAAGAGTATTGAGATAAGATCTGTGTTTTAAAGTACCACTATAGCATAGCAGTTATGCCTGCTTCTCTCATTCCACCCCACCAATGTGTCTCGGATGCCACCTACAGAAAGAACCTCCAAAGAGAGGAAGACTTGGTGTTTAGTGCCTTTCCTGATGTTATCAATATAGGCAACAACTATACCATATAATTTATCTCTGTCATCATAGAATCACAGAACAGTTTGGATTAAAGATTGTTTGGTTCCAAGCACTGTGCCATGGGCAAGGAACATTCCAATAGACCTGGTTACTCAGGGCCTCATCCAGCCTTCCAGCAATAGGGAGCCCAAAACCTCCATGCACTCATGAAAAGTTCCTATCCAGATTTCTTGTAAGCCCCCTTTAGGTACTGGCAGGGGCTCTGAGGTCTCCCTGGAGCCTTTTCTTCTCCAGGCTGAACAGTTCCAAACACTCTCATCTTTTCATAGGAGAGGTGCTCCAGGGCTGTGATCAGTTTAGTGGCTCACCTCTGGACTTATTCCAGCAGGTCAGTGTCTTTCTTGTGTTGGGGGCCCCAGAGCTGAACACAATGCATCAACTAGCAGGGAATTAGGAGAACTGATTGCTCCCTCTCTGCAGTGCCAGCTCTGAACTGCAGACATTGAAACACCCAGCTGCTTGCAGCTCTTTTGGAGCACTGTGTTCCACTTTTCCACTAATATGGCTATTTAAAGAATGACACACTCTGGCTGCAGCAGCTTCAGTGTGGCCCGCCATCTTCACCTTTGGTCTTTCCATCAGTGCAAAACATTGTTAAAAGTCATTAAAGATAGCACTGAGGGTTCTCCTACCTTCTAAGTAGCATCTGGTAATACAGGATTACTGCAGCAGCTTCAACACAGATGTATCACCTCTCAGTCACCAGCATTCAGGGTTTAGCCAAGATTCTCTACTCTCTATATTGCAAGTAACAGAAAACAAGGCCCTGAGAGTTTGCCATAAGCCCTCTTTATAAAAGCTGTGCATGCAGTGAAGTTCTGTGCTCCTGTCAGTCCACAAGACACCATGAGAAATTGCACATGGATCCAAATCTTCTTGCTTCAACTGAAATTTGTGTCATTCTCAGCTCAGAATTGCTTTGGATTAGGAAACCACATTGCAGTAAGTACCCTGAGTGATGGACATTATGGTTGATGCCCATTGACCAGATGAGACCTGGAATATCCTAATGTGAGAATCCTTTTGTTCCGTGCAAAAGGCATTAAAGAAGATGAAGTAGCTTCACCTGCAGCTGTGGGCATGTAGAAATTGGCACAATGGAAAAGGAATTGATGAATATATATCTATCCCAAATTCTTGGCTAAACTGCAGTTGCCAGTCCTGCGCAGGTGAGAGCAGTCCAAAGTTACCTGGTTCTCTCTGAAGATTTTTGTATTGCTGCTGGGACCACTAGAGCAAAGAAATGCCCTAACCATTCCTCTCTGCCAGGCATAAACTTGTGCTAATCTGAAATCACTGTAGCTGCTTTCTGACAGACAGATTTCTTTGTACAGGAGTCCTCAGGGAGTAGACCCAGTATATTTAAAAAGCTTATGAGAACCACTGAAGATGTATTTTGTGTATATAGAGGAAGAGCAGTATATCAAACGAGAGCCACTGCATAATGGTCCAGGAAGGGCTGGTTTTCAAAGGACCAAACCTTGGCATTCACCTCATATCATGGGATATAGCTGCAGGCAACCACGTCCATGAGTCCTTCTGCTCAAGCTTTAGAGCAAAAACAGAGTTCTTTTTTGATACTTCATTATCAGGAACAGTACTAATTCTCTCCAGTATGAGGACTCTCTGTAGGGGCCTTGATGGCTTTTTGATGAAAATTCACATACAACTGTCACAGGTTGGTTGGTCTTCTCAATTCACCAAAACTTTTGTCAGTTTAGAAATTGTATGAACTGAAGCATTTTGACAAGCATATAAGAAAGACGAGAATGCATCTAGTATGACAGAATATTGATGCTCTTTGTATCACTTCTTTCTCTTATTTTCTGTCTGACCTCAGGGACAAGACACAGCTGAGAGAAATCTTTTTCCAAAGAACTGTAGATACTGAGCTCGGATTCTGAGAGATCCTCCTAATAGAAGCAATAGCATCTGTCAAGCCAGTCTAAAACAGCAGTGAAAATGAAAATCAACATGCTATGAGCAATGTTTTCTTTGATGAGTGGGTTTATTTTCACATTTGTTCGCACACAATTACCTAAAGCTCTGGCACAACAACTGCAGGCAGAGCATTCTTTATGAAGTTTGTTGTATTTCAGTGTTCAATTCTGTCATTGAATGACTAGATTTTGGCTGTAATATCTCTCTGGAAATATTTCAAGACCTGTCTGTTTACAGCAGTTCTGGCAGAAAGCTGTGATAAGCTCAAAGTCCTGTGATTATGATTCATTGCTGTGTGAATAATTTCAGTTATCAAGCTTGATTATATCTCTGCATGGTTTTACACTATCCACATGTACACTGGGTGTATTCAGAGCCAGGGCTGTGCTTACCCAAATACCTTTTTTTGTGCTAAAGAACAAAAAAAACCTGCTGATTAATATTTTAATATTTTTTGTATTTAATATTTCAGGGGGTTTTTAATAGGTATTATATTCTTCTTCAGTTATACATTATGGTTGCTTTATTTTTATTTTATTCATGCATTTAAATATTTCCTTTTTTTTTTTCCCCAGAAAGGGTTCTTGTGAGCATGTACATAAATACAGCTGTTACATCATTTTATGTGGGGGGTATATGGCATTTCATATACCAATACTTGATAAATTAACCAGTACTCAAAATTTAATTCATCCTCCAAACCATGCTGCAATTAAACACTACTTGAGAAGCAAGCATAAATATTTTGCTTTGGGAATGCCCACCTGACAGATGAGGTAACCCCAGTTGATGTCTTCTTCTTAGCTCTCTCAGAAAACACTGGGGTGTAAGTCTCTCTTGATGTTGAAAGATTTGTATGTACCCACATCTTCTCTTCCCACGGGAGCACTTTCCAGCTAGCCTGAACTGCTGGAAGAATTCACAGGGATGAGTGTTTTATCAGACCATGGTCTTCCACTTGGGAGACACAGCAAGTTTAATATTTCCTTCATGGGTCCCTTGAATCACAACAGTTTTCCTGCTCATTTCCCTTTCTGTTTCATGTTTTCAATATTTCTTATTAGTGAAAATATGGATTTCTTCATCACTTTTTCTTCACTTCCCACTGAAGCCTGACTTCCTTCATGTCCAGGGTTTGGACTCTGATACAACTTGCAGCCATCCCACTCTTGGAAAGGGCAGAAAAAGCAAACAGTGTTTGCCCAGGAATGGGTGTTTGTGCAGAAACTGCCTGCAGCCAGCCCCGTTGCTCTGGGAATTCAGGGTGGAATCAAGGCAGTGACTGTTTTTTATGTCAGCTGCCACAGAACTAGTGACCTGCTGTGAGAATGGAAACCCTCTGGAGTCTTTCTGACAGAAATATCAGACATGCCATTGCAATCAGATTCCTCTTTGGATGGTTACTGGCCTTCCCAAATGCCCAGTTTGTTATGGAGTACTTGTACTTCTGTGGAGAATGATTTCATTCTATCAAGCAAGATTCAGTCCATCCAAGTAATACTATTGCCTCAGACTGGAAAGGACTGAGCTGGAAAGGGCTGTTGGTCTAATCAGCCATGATACAGAGCAGGAGAGAACACTTCTGAGTCAACAGAGGGCATTATGTGAAAGCTTCTCTTTCCAGAGTCACACCATGGGGCTGATGGGCTGCTTCAAGAGCACATAAACACTTACTGAGTCTCCCATCAGACAGATGGGATTTGGTGGAATACAGGGAAGCTGTTTGGGGGCACATCTGCCCAGCTGCCCTGGTGGCAGTGAGGTTAATCTGTGCTTTCAGGGAGATGGTAACCAGCAAGTCAGAGGCAGCCACACAGGGCTCTCCTATTTTAGCTCTGTTTGGTGTTTTCTTTCCATCAGGTGTGGTGTACAGCCAGCACATTGGTTTAATGAACACAAGCAAATTCTGCTGGGGCCTGTCTGTTTAATCTGTCTGTAAAACAGGAGGAGGCAGCTGACGACCTGAGATCCAGGCAAAGCTGATGCAGCCATGGCATTCAGCTGTCCCAAGAAGTGAGGACGGGCTGCTACCTGAAAGGATGTATGTGAGAGGTTTTATCTGAGGAGCTCAGACACTGCTGGCCATGTTCATTTCTATCCAGACATTTTGTAATGCAGATTAAGGTTGTAAAGGAAAAATCATCTGTATTTAAGTTTTGGCTGACAGAAGAACTTAGTAAAAATTCAATCTGGATTGGGAAGGACAGGAACAATGCATAGGAACAACATTTTTTCCATTATTAGATTTATTAGTTTATAATAAATGTTACCTGGCAAGAAGCAATTTACAAGCATCAGTAAGGGTTCAATTGCTTTCTTAAATATCCCCCAAAGCCCTAAACAAAAAACCCAAACAACTCAATCCCATAAAGGATATAAGTGTTATAAAGTTTTAAGGATGCCCTAAGCGTTTAAAGGGCTGAATATTCAAAAGTAAGGCTCTAAGGTAAATTAGTAAGATTTTTGTTAATTACAGAAAAATTACAGGAAGAATATCCATCACACCTTGACTTTTGCTCATGACTTCATTACTCTTCACTCTTCTCTCCCCATATTATCCAAATCAGGCTTTCTCCATACTAGTCCCAGGAAGATTATTCCCAAAGAGGGAAGGGTTGTATCTGCAAAGAACACTGGCACTTTGAAGAGAGGGGAGCATAGGGGGATTGTGGGAGTGTGTATGTGTTTGTGAGCATGTGGAGTTGAGATTTACACCTGTCTTCAGGAGATCCTCAGCCAGAGGATCAGCATTTTCATAGGTCCTGCTCACCACAGACAGACAGTTTTGCCCAAATTCTGGAAAAGGAAACAGCGTTGCAATGCCCGATCAACCCCTTGAAGATATTATATGGAAATATGAGACAGAACATCTCTGGTTTTATTATAGAGTTTTCAGCAAGGCTCAGATGTTGATAAAGCAAAAACAGAGCTGTAGCAGAAGAGGTTGGTAGCTGCAAGGCAGTGAAGTAGTAAACAGAGAGAGGAAAGGCCACAAAAGAAGAAAGGTAATGAGGTGATGTTCAAAAAAAGACTGCATATGGCACTCAATGACATGGTTTAGTTGAGGTATTAGGGCATGGGTTGGACTCGATGATCTTTAAGGTCTCTTCCAATCTAGTCATTCTGTGAATTCTGTGGGTAAAGTTGAGAGAAAGAACTAGCTGTGTGGCTGGGGAAATGGGACTGAGGACATGGCAGAGGGCTGGGAGATGCCGGTGAAACGAGTCACACTGCACAGTGACAGGAAAAGCAGAGAGAAGTGAGACATCAGGGAGGTGTAACAGAGACATGGGCTTCTCTTACTTACATAAATTTGAAGCTGAAAGACTGTCAGAGCAAAAAGATACCTGTTTCCGAGACAAATCTAAGTGAATGTCAGGGCCAGGAAGCAGTTGGCTGTTTATATGTACTTTTTTTCTTCCCAAACCTACCAAAAAGCTGCTTTCAATTAAAAACGTAAGGCTTTGCATGGCTCTGTAATACATAGGTGGTGGCCTCCTCTTAAAGGAACGCATCCACCACTGTCCTGCTGCAATGCTAAATATGCCTGAAATCCTCTCATGGTGGTTAATCTCTAACTTGGATCTTGCTACTGATACACTCCTGTGACAAAGGTCATATTTCTAATGATAAAAGTAAAGAAAGGAAGGTAGTAACATGGTGCCAGCGATGCAGTTGAGTTTTACTTTTATTTTACAACTTAGGGCTTATTCTAGCTAACAGGCTGCTTCTAGTCAAAACAGAACAGGAATGCTCCCTCTGCTCTTCAGGGGGAGTGTTAAGATTGATTATCTCAATGTGTTCTAGCTGCCTGTGGATACATAACCTTTCTGAATGCTTGCTTGTGATGGAAACTGTTTGCTGTGTTTTGCAGGTACTTCTGAACTTTCAGCTTCATCCCGCTCTCTCCTTCCCTCTGATTTCTCTCCCATTTTCTTATGAGACTTGCTTTTTCTCAAATGCAATTTTTCTCTTTCTCGTCTCTCTTTTGCACCTTCAGGTTGCTAAAAGGCAAGGAAAAAATAGCAGGGAATTAAAAGAGACTCCTACAAGAACAACAACAACAAAAAAAGCTCATTATTTTGTTCCACTAAATAACAAAATTTTCCAGTAACTTCCTCACCAAGATCAGCTTTACCATGATGGGCTCAAATTCAAGGCCCAAGCCAGTCACCCTAAAGCTCAGCAAGAAGCAGCACACATGCTTTGATTTTACTCTGTATATGATAGAAGGGTCACGGGCTCAGTGGACATGAAGAGGAGAGCAGACAGAAGGGAGAAAGAGAGGGGCTCTGAGATTTCAGCCCCAACTCCATGTTTCTATCCTTTTATGTGATCTGTCTTTACATCCCTGAAGACTTCTCAGTGCTAGCTGCAAAGACCTCACTGAAAACAAGGTCCGAAGGGTTCTCAAAGACATTCATATGAGAAAAGCAATATACAGAGAAGGAGATTACCTTTCCCACACTGTTCACCTGTCTGATCATGGTGGTTTGAATTGCACCCACAGAGCTCTGAATGCAAAAAAATGCTCCATTTGAAGACACAGGTTTAAGCCCAAATTTCCTTTCAGATCTCTGATCTATTGCTCAGTTATTTGAGATTCACAAGTCCTTCACATCTCCCAAACTACAGTTGTGACTGAGAGAATGGCAACTATTTGGTCTTCTTGAAAAACAGATTAAAATACAGCTCAACACATCCCACTGCTGATTACAGAAGGGCACTGGTATCCATGCTTTTAACTGGAACTGAAGCCATAATTAATACATTGTGCTCATCACTATATCTAATCATACATCAACTACACACTCGCAGACTTTCTAGCCACAGGCATTTTTGAGAAATTATAAATTATAAACCAGACAACCACTAGTGAATGCTGGCACATGAGGCACTGTAAATTTCCAAATGAAAGCAATTGAATAATTCCTGAAGAGGAAAAAGAAGATTAAAGAATGCACTTGAAATTTTGACCATGGTGTAACGGTGTTGTCATCATTATAATTCTGCATATTCTTAGACAATTGGTCATGCAAGGACTATAATTATGGGACTGATCATGTAATTATGCTGCCTATTGAAAAGAAATTTCCCCCCTTTTTGCTGTGCAAAGAGAGTGGAAAAATTACTTTTCCATACAAATTGTCAGTGTCAAGAACCTGGAACAAAAAAAGATACTTCCTTATGTGGTTATTTGATGCTAATGTCAGGTGTTATTCAAGCACAGCTTTTTGAACAGAGTGACAATTTGATGGGGTTTTTCTGATACTTAAAAGTGAGTTAGGATTTATTACCCTTTCTTCCATTCCATGATACAGCAGATATGATGTATCATAATAAAAATCTATTAAAGTCTAGAGAAAAAGTTGTTATTGGCTATTTCATCAACACACCCCAGACAAAATGCTCATGGCTGTGAACAGAATGATGGGGAGAAGGATGAAATGGGCAGAGAATCCCCTGCATGCCCTTTCAGTGCAAATATGTTCTGCTACTTATAGCAATAGCTGCTGCTGCAGCTGTGTGGTGACACTGCAGAAAGCAGATGGATGCAGTCCTGAGGGGTAAATGAGAAGCCTGCAGTGTCTGGCAGTATTACAGACAACTCCACATAGGTTAAGTCAGGTCAGCAGCAGTGAAAAAGTGAGCTGGGTCTTGCAGAAGAAGTGAAGCAAACCTGGGTTTTTATTGTCATGTTCTGTGGCCACAGCCATAGAAACCTCTGAAAACATTGCCACATGAGCCAGTGTGGTGTTTCATTTTGAGGATCAACATTTCTGAATAATGTTGGACAGTAACACCACATCAAGAATCCTCACACTAATTGCACAGCTTTAACCTGGTTTGTGCTACTTGTAGTAATTTGAGACCACATAATATGAGAAATTCCAATTGGAGTTTATTTCTGCACTTTCCCCCAGCAAAGTCACAGCAATTACACAAAGGATGAAGCTGACTTGGTTGGTTGGGCTTTTTTTTTTTTCTGTAGTGATCTTATTACCTACCAGAGAAACTGAGCGTTTGCTTTTGAGATGCAATTGCTTTTCAAAGGACTCTGCAAATTCCTGAATGGAGTTTGATCTTGTCTCTGGACATGAGCTGTCTGCTGAAGGCGTTCTGCTTGCCTTCCTGTGGCAGTGACATTTGACATCTTGGTCTTCCTGAAATTCCTTGGAGCCCCTGAGGTGGCCTGAAGATGAGCCTTTGGCAGAAGCGTGAAGTCGTGTTGTATGGAGGGATGAAAGCTTGGCCTGAAAAACAACAGGTCTTTGTTTACTGTTGAGTAGCAAAGCAGAACACACAAGGCAGATTTTTTTTCTGCCACAGACACTGTCCCAAACAGTGGTGCAAAGTGAAAGACTCTCCCCAGAATTCTGTATCTTTCTTTTTAAGTGTAGGAGAATCACACTGCCAAGAACTTGCTTTCTGGAGGCAGCAAGGGAAGAATTTCCTATTATTTCTGGGTTTAAGGATATAAAGATATAAGTTTTGGCACACAATGGAACATTTCAAATTTAAAGCGTGCTGGGTCCTCTTAGTGTTCACTGATACAAAAAGAACTGAGACTCTTCATAACCTCAAAAACTCAGGCTTCACACCTGGCTGCAGTTTCTAGGCAGGATTCTCAAAAAGTATTACCCAGCCTTTTGTGGCCAGATGAGTCAGGTAAGGGGTTTGACCCACCAGTGCTCCAGGTCTTATCAGCTGTTTGAGTTTAGATCGTGACAACAACCATTTCTCATCCAGTTCTGTCAAGTTTTCAGCACGGTATACATGCAGACAAGCTGCTTTATTTGCCAGCTTTGAATTTTCTGCTGGTTTTTGGGGCACATTTGTCTTGAACTAAGGAAGAAGCACTTTCAGGGTACTGAAGGACACATCCCTACCAAAGAAATAGTAGGAAACAGACTTCTGCAATTACATTTGCAGGACTGAAGTCAGAATGAGTAGATAGTTGTTTAGTTTCTGTGTGATTCAATTTTCCAAGGCCTGGCATGCAGATAAAAGCTATTGATCTGCATCAGCTGTGTTTAATTGAATGTCTGCAAAGGAGATTAAATTATACAGAACTGCTGTGTCCTGTGGAGTCATGAATTGGTGATTTTAGAAAGGGACAGACTTGTAGAAGAGAGGCATGAGAAGGACACCACAGCTGGGGATACCCCAAACCCTGCCCACTCTCAGTGATTTTCAGGATGAGTAGCTGGACACAGGTAAGATGCAGAAGGTGAAAGTTATGAGAGACAGGAGGTACTGAAAATTACACCCCTGCAAGTGTCAGATTAAAGCACTCCAAGCACCCAGCTGCTGGCATATATTTTTGAATGCCTATATGTTTTGGACATTATGAGGAATTTCTTCACAGAAGGGATGACTAGATATTGGAATAGACTGCCCAAGGAGGTCACTGTCCCTGGAGGTGTTTAAGGAAAGGCAGGACATGGCACTCAGTGCCATGGTCTAGTTGACATGGTGGTGGATTGGTCAAAGGTTAGAGTCAATGATTTCAGGGGTCTTTTCCACCCCAATTGATTCTGTGATTTTGTTTTGTATAAGCCTGGTGCTAAGCCTTCAGCTACTAAGTAACCCTGAGAAGTTCTGCTGGCTTTAAGGGAGCTGTGATTGTTTATAACAAAGGAAGTTTATCCCACCAGTCCTGCAATGCTTTCTAAGAAAATCCAGTAGAAAACCCTACACTCAATGCAGGGTTTGTGGTGTGTGTATTGGTTGTTTTGTTATTTTAACAAACAGGGGAAACTAAAACAACTGGGTATAGTGTTCACATGAATCTACAAAGCTTGGACTGCAAGGGATCTGAAATATGCCCAGCACACAACCTCATTCACTCTGAATGACATATTCCTGCTACTCTAAATGTACTGGCACAACAGGGACCAATGCAGCCTTTCTCTGAGTAGAGAGGCTGTGCATTCATATGGCTGTAGCTACATCACATTAGACAGGCTTGATGAGAGATGCTCAAAATAACAAATCCTGCACCTGACAGAAGTACCTAATATTTGAAGAGTGTTTGCAAAATACATGGTACTGGTTCCATTTTTTTTCCCCAGGCATAAGCTTACTATGTCCAGTATTATGGACTGCCTCTGAGAGTAGTGTTAATGATTTCTGCCATATTACTTTTACTTTGGTTTCAAACCAGTCAATACAGCTGCAAGTTCTGTAAGGTCGTATTGTATTGTTACTTTAGAAAGCATCAAAGCAATCGCATTATGCTCGAGGGACAGGGGCACACGTGACATGCCAGGCTCAACAAGCTCAATGTCATCTCTGACATTTTAATGGCATCAACATATGGTCTTTCCTGGAAAAAAAAACTATCTCATGGTAAAAAATCACTGGTATCTGTTCCTAGAGGGTTTGGGAAAAAAAACCCAAACCAAACACAGGACAGCTGAAATGGGGGATTGTATTCTATCAGTCTTGTTTCACAAAGACTGTAAATGTTTTCTGTTACTAAGACACTATTTTTTAGTTTCTCTTCACAGACAGAATTACAGTTAGGCCCTTAACAAAAAGACTGCAGTTTACCTGCTGATATGGCAGCAATGGTCCAGAAAAGGGACAAGCTTTCCTCTGAAATGCCCATCTGCCTCAGTGGGCTAAGGGTAAAGATACATCCACAGGTCTATGCAATCATATTACTGTGACTGTGCTTTCCCTCACAGTGCCTGTGCATGATACATTAAATTCTCCACTATCAAAATGGGGATTTTTTGCCAGTGCTGGGAAAGCCAGAAGCACCAAGGGATGTCAGGGATTGTTTCTCATTCCCATTAGTACTCCTTTTTTCTGTGTTGGGTAAAGTCCACTCATGTTCAGTGTATCTATTTACAAAACAGCTAATCTTCTGCTAATTGTCAATCTCAAACACACAAAAGGTACACAAACAAAAATACTTCACACAAGAAAAATTGTTGTAAGTATAATTTGCCTTATCACTTTCTCAGTTTCTGTTGTAGACAAATTAATTGTTTACATCTTTTGGGCTTGATCTGAGAGCTTGCACAGCTGTCAGTAAGAACATTAATCTTCAGCGTGTCAGCACAAATGTTCATTGTTTGCTGGAGTTTACACAATGACCCGAGTATTTTAGGGATATTTTGGAACATCTGACATTCAGATGCTCTCCCATGGCTTCATTTCCTTCCCAGAAGCTTACAGACAAGCATATATTTCTTAAAAATGTTTTGGTCTGGCCTCCAATTGGTCTATAATAACAATATTGTAGTAGATGTTCAGTTTAAGTTTAGTTTAAATTAAATGTCAGTAACTTCAACAGCAGTCATTTGTTCTGCTGCCACTCCTAGCAATTTTCTCCTGTGAGCAACAACATCTATTTGAAGGTGGATTCATGTATAGGGCTGTAAACTTCTTATTAGTTCTCCTTTGTCTCCAATCTTTTCCTTACAACAAAATGTCTGGGAGGTAGAGATGTGTTCTGAACCTAAACGATGTAGGGTGACTAGAATGTGACAAGGAAAGTCATAGCTGGAGGCTTCAGAAAGGGTACCACAGTTAATTTGTCTAAAGTTTGCCAGGGGAACAAGTTAAATAAAGGAGATGGAAACAGCTGATTTAATTATCCCCAGGCAGTTTTTACATTCAGTGTTGGCCCACAGCAACATACAGAACTCCGAGCTTTCCAGGACAGTGGAGTTACATGTTATTTTAGCCTGACAAATTGGAGTTACATGTTTTAGCCTGACTTGCAAGTGACCCAGTGTAGGATGAAAATAATTTTGTGTTCCCCTCTACAAAGTGTGAATGACAATAGCAAAAGCATTTTGTAAAGCTTATCTCAGTGGTGTTTGTGAGGTATACAAAGATACTGGGGAAAAAATAATGAAAACTGCTGTTAGTTTGGGAGTTTTACTCTTCAAAGCTTTATCCATACTTAGGATGGGGGCTGTACCATGGTAGGGTACCACAGGAGTTTATTTTTGTCTTTGAGGTGGAAGCAGTGGCTTGAATGTCTCACTATAGCACAGGAAAACCTACAAAGACCAATACAGCAGTTTGGAGCTGAAAGTGATTTTCCAGCAGCACCATCTTTTGTGCTACCTTGAGAGCATTTACTTTGCAGCATCGAAAGGCTCATGGTGATGAAGCAGTTCCCATGGGCAGGACTGCTCTGCTGCTGGTGCCCTGAATACCAACCTTGGTATGAGACCAAGTGAGCTGGCAGTGCTCTTTTGGCAGCACCATTGTACCTGCACAAGGAGCTTTTCCCAACAGCTGTGTCAGAACTTGCTGACTTGATTTTAGACAGTGGAGTTATCTCAATTTTCAGTGTTGAGACAGAAGAAAGGGTACACTGTGACCTGCTGCGGAGCTATTAGCTCTCAGAAGAGATGCACTCTAATCTCAGTTATTATTCCTCCTGATAATCAGCACTGTGCAGATAAAATTAAGACAATATTTAAATAGCAGTACCAGTGTTTTGAATCTTACAACAGTTATAATTTGCAGTAATGAATCTTACAGTAGTTATAATTCGAAGTAACTGTGCAAAAAACACACATCCAGAAGCAATAGCTCTCAAGTTACTGCTCTCACCAAGGAGATGCTCTTTCTGGAGGTATTTACAAGGCATCAGCAGTGCCCATTTGTTTAACTTCTGGCTTTGGTTAGACAGCACACACTACTGCTCTTTACTACCGACTACTCAACTTCCAAATCAAGAGTTCATTTCAAAATGTATCCGCAAATTATAAAATCCCCAGACAAATATTCCTGTCTCATTCCTCCAGTCAACATCTGGCACTGAGAAAAAAGGCAGTTAAAACTTACATCTTCTATATGAAACTAGGGGAGCAAGACAATTTTGTTTGAAGCATTAATGTAAAGGTCAGATATAATTAAGTATACACAGTATCTTTAGCTTGTTAAACAGTAACATCAAAAAGTCATAGTCTTCCTGTCAGCTAACTTAACCTAAATTCTAGGTATGGATTCAGGAATGCAAGTATAGCAAAGTATTTGAGAAGCTATTAGCTAACTATTTAAATAGCTTTTGAACAAACAGACTATAAGGACATGCTAATACAGACACAAATATACAAGGTGTGTTCAGCACCTTGCTGAATGGAAAGAGATTTAAAGTGCATTCTTACACTCCAGTTTCTCTTGAGGCCTAAAGAAATCACATATGCATGGATCTCTGAGTGACAAAACTAAAATACACTAAAATTAATTATCCTCCTTCCCCTCCCATTCATAAATGTTATGTATTCAGCATTTTGGTGGAATACAGCAGCAAAGCTCTAGCTCAGAGTCTGTCCTGCAGTCTGTGGCTGAGGTGAAACATAAGAGTAAATAACAAATGTGGCTGATCAGACCAGAAGTTATGAATGAAGGTTATCTCTCCAGCCTGCCCATGAATTCAAAGAGGGAGGAAGTGGTTTTGGAATTCGATGGTTTTTCTTAGCCAATTTTTTTTTTTTAATGAAAAATCCCACAGCTTAGAACCTGACAGCTGCAGTGGAGAACTTGCAAGGTGGAAACATGGAATGGCACAAAAAAAAAAGTTTGGAAAAGATTAGCTGCTCGTCCCCAGTGTATTAGGATTTGCTTCATTGCAGCCATAATGATCTAAGGATATAAGTAAAAACTGGTTTGTAAGGAAACATAGTATCTTTGTTAAGATAACTGATGTAGTTGGAAAAAAAAGGAGACAGGTTTGGACCACCCAAGTGTTCTTTTAAAAGCTGAAATGAAAGCAACTATCTTTGAATGAAGAGAAGATTATGAACAGTTTTCAGTTTAATCTAATTTTGATAATCACTTAGATAGTTGTGAGCAGCCTTCTGCACGTGAACCTGCCCCTTTCCTGATTGTTTTAAGAATAAAGAATGTATTTCTACCTTAAAATCTTACTTCACAGTTTAGTAAGCTTTATTATGTGTTGTATCATTGTTTTCAGAGTCAGATGTTTTAAAGCAGGAGGGACTGCATCTTCTAGCTTAAAATAGAAATTACACTTACCTGAAAACAGGTAAGTCTCAAGAGGTAAAGGGTAAAACTTCCTGGAGACAATATAGTTGCATAATTTTTAAAACATATGGAATTGTACAGTTTTTCACATGAGAACAGACTTGTTACAGGCAGTCTTTATGGATGCAGGTGCAAAATGTTTTGATGTCTACCAGGTTGTGCTGAGCAGCCAGAACAACACTGTAATACATAGTTAGGCAGCTATTACACACTTCTCCTTATATTTCTGGTCCTATCATCACTTTTCTTGGACTTTGCCAGTTTTCTGTATTCCAAGACCCCAGAGGCTTGACCCTGTCAGACAGCTAAGCTCAAAAAGCAACTAGCAGCTGCCAGCAGGAACTGAATTTACTTGGCAAGGTGTCCCATTCTCCCCATACATCCCTGGGGCCGTGCCTCTGGGGATGGAACTCATATTTACACATACACTACCTGCACACACAGAGAAAGCTGCACACAGCTCTTACCGGTAGGGATGCCCTCCTTTCACTCCAGAGCTGTGGCTGACGTTTCTTGTGGCCTCTGCCTTCTTTCTCCTCATCGATCAAGTTGTGGCCCCAGAAGCTGCTCATCCATTTTGCAAAGAAAATATCATCATCCTCATCATATTCCATGTACAGATGCCCCAAACTTGGGGGGGAGGTGTGGTTTCTCCCAGCCAGACAAGGCAAAGCAAGGTCAAATTCCACCACCAAGCCAGTAGCTTCTCACTGTTCTGCCAACAAGAGGAAGCAGACACACAGTTTCAACCACCCTTTCTGCACTCCCTCCCCAAAACCTGTCCCACTGCAGCCCCGGGCACTGTCTAAACATTAAGTCAGCCCTTTCTCATCTCTTTTCAACCAGGTTTCCTTTAACCTTTCCATTGCAGCGATGTCCAATATGACACTGCCGCAGGGGGTGGGTGGCAGGGCTGTGGCTGCTCCCTGTGTTGCTGCTGAGTGCTCCAGCTGTCAATACCAATGCAGAATTGCCCACAGTTACATGCCTGCAGGGGGCAGACCCAAAGCAGGCTTGTGATTTTTGAGAAGCAGAATTGACATATTGATGTTGGTCAGAAAGTGGCACAGCTGCTTGCAGAGACCTCGCTGGCTCTGTGGGAGGGAGCACAAATGGCCCACTCTTCCCCTGCTGCTCTCTCTCTCCTGACTTGTGTTGCCTATGCTCTTCCTTTAGTATCCCAGAAATGTCATCTGCCTAGGTAGAAACCCTTCCTAAAGCAACTGCTCGTTCATTTTTGGGTTATGACAGACAGCGCAATCTTGCAGCTGCTGCTTTTCACCTGAGTAATTTCATCTGCTGTATCAGGGGTAGGGGAAGCCCTGCCTCACTTGAATGCACTCAGGGTAAGAATGTGCTGTTTCTTCCTCACCAGCCCAGGGTGTAAACCATCCAGCCCTTGCCTATACCACAAACAGGGCCAGGAAATGAATTCTGGCCCTCAGACCAAGTGTCTAAACTGACCACATGTACCCTACATGGTGTCTGTGCTGAGGGTCTCCTCGGGGCTCTGCACTGCAATTACTGCACTGTGGCTGTAATGCTTTGCTGTCATTTTTGTGTCTCCTGTATTTCAAAATCTCTGATATAACACAAAAACTGTTGTGGCTCACAAAACTGTTGTCGGCATGGTATGAAACTGGAAGATGTGTTAGGTGGTTTGGGCCTGGCAGGAGGACAGTGAGGGCTCTGAGGCTGTAGAGCCTGTTGGGATGGTGCTGGAAAGCTGCATGGGAGGAAGAACCCAAACTGAACTTCTCACTGGAAGCAAACCTTGGTATGTTCTGGTGTTCTTCTGGTGCCCATGCATTGCTGTGGAGATGCTGGTTAGTCTTGGACAGAAATATGCTGGTAATTTGGCATTACAGAGAATCAGCGGTCCAGCATTAAACCTTTTCCTCAACCTGTTTAGAACTGTTTAGAAGATCTGTTTTGTAGCTACAACTCCAGTTTGACTCATGGGGGTGTGAGTGTGAGGTGTAAGTCTCTGCTGTATGGGAGCTTGGGGACACAGCCATGCCTGCAGCAGCCTGGACAGGAGCAAGAGGAATACCTGCAAAACAGAGCAGTAAGAAGACACCTGAAGCAATGAAAAGGATGTGTAGGCTGATTTTCTAGGTAGGGGAGGACACTCCTGGCCACATTCAAACAGCCAGAATTTGACTTACATCCTGGAGGCCACCCATGTGTACAGGCAAGGCACATCTGAAGGCCTGCAGGAAGCATGATGTGGGTGGAATTGAAGCTGTCCCAGCAGGAAGCTGTTGACCTGATACATATTTTCTATTGTGAGGTGACAGGGAGAACAGGGAAAAGGTTGTCCCAGTTTTGTCCAAATATTCATACATAAGTAGTAATAATCCATCAATTAAAGGACATTTCTCAAGTTGTTTACTACCAGGCATGCAGATACACTGACTCAGAGTGCAGCAGGGCAAATTTTAGTTGGGACCCTGAGATGTTTGCTTTGCAATCTTACTGTTGATTTTATTTGCAGCCCTTTTTTCTTCTGTGCAATATCTTCTAACATTTCCCTCCTACCTAAAATGAAATTTTCAGGCATGAGATGACTGGGGCTGATTGTAAAAGTGTATCAAAAATGATTTCTGTTTATCTTCAGCTGAGTGCTCCATGGAAATAAGTGGAGACAGGAACATAAGCTTCCTCTGCCTACAGGTAAGGATTTTAACTAGGCATAGACACAAACATAAACAAAATTCTAGTATTACATATTAAATTATTTTTATGACAGATTCAATTAATAACTGGGAAGAAAACAGGAAGATTTATTTTATAACAAGGATTGCTTCAAAACTTTTAAGTACAAAGTCCCAGAAGGTCTGAATCAGCCACATTAGCTAAAACTTCACAGAATTAGAGAACCAAGGTAAAGCTGGAAGAGGCCACAGTGGATCATGTGGTCCAACCTCCTGCTCCAGCAGGGTCATCCCAGAGCACAGGGTTGTACCCAGACAGGTCTGGAACATCTCTAGTGAGGGAGACTCCACAACTTCTCTGCACAGCCTGTTCCAGTGCTTGGTGGCCTGCACAGAAAAGAATTTATTCCTCATGTTCAGGTGGAACTTCTGCCCGTTGCCTCTTGTCCCACTGCCTGGCACCACCGAGAAGTTCCTGGATCCATCTTCTTGGGATTCCCTCTTTAGGTACTTGTAGACATTGATGAGGGCCCCTCTCAGCCGTCTCTTCTCAAGGCCGAACAGGCCCAGCTCCCTCAGCCTTTCCTCTTCAGAGCCCCTTCATCCCCTCCGCCGCCCTGTCCCGGACCCGCTCCAGGAGCTGCACGTCTCTCTCGTGCTGAGGGGCCCAGAGATGGACGCAGCGCTCCAGACGCGGAGCGCACTTCTCGTGTGAGCGGCTCAGAACTCCTTCGGCACGGATCGCTCCAGCCCCGAGGCCACTCCACCGCTGCTTGCCGGGCAGGATCCCGATCCCGGCCCCGAGCCCGATCCCGATCCCGGCCGCTCCCGGGCTCCCCTCCCCTCCCGGGCTCCCCCACAGGGGCTGCGGGTGCCCCTCCGCGCCGGCAGGGGGCGCTGCGGGCGGGCGGAAGCGGCGGCGCGCCCGCGCCCTCCCGGCGCGCCCCGCGTGTCCGCTGACCCTCGATCCTCCTCCTCTTCCTCCTCCTTCTCCTCCTTCTCCTCCTCCTCCTCCTCCCGGGCGTCATGGCCGCCTCGAAGCCCGTGGAGTTGCCGGGCGGCGGTGGGGGCACCAGCGGGCTGTCCCGGTGGCAGCTGGCGCTGGTGCTGGGCGCGCCCATCCTGCTGGGAGCCGGCGCGATCTATCTGTGGGGGCGGCGGGCGGCGCGGCGCGGGAAGGGCGCTAGCGAGAGGAAGACCCCGGAGGGGCGGGCGAGCCCCGGGCTCGGCGGCGAAGGCGGCTCCGGGCAGCCCGACGGGCCCGGACACGAGGAGATGGTGAGCGGGGAGCGGCAGGGGCCGGGGTCCCGCCGCCGGCCGGGCCGCCCGGAGCAGCGTGGGGATGCCCGGGCTGCATCTGCCATCTGCGGGCGGCAGGGCCCCACAGGCCGCTGGCCCCGTCCGGAGTGCGGCTGCCAGGGTGCCGGTCCCCAGCGAGGAGCAGGCGTGCGGTGGGATGGAGCTCGGGTGACATCCTGGTCGTGCTGTGCGTGACACGCCCGGCAGGTCACAGAGTCACAGGCCGGGCAGGTCGGAGGGGCCCGCGGTGGGTGATGCGGTCCGACCTCCGGGGTCGTCCCAGAGCACATTGCACAGAATTGTGTCCGAACGGTCTGGAATGCCTGCAGTGAGGGAGACTCCACGCCCTCTCTGAGTAACCTGTTCAGTGTTTGGTCACTGCACGGTAAAGAAATTCTTCCTCATGTTCATGTGGAACTTCTGTGCATCAGTTTGTGCCCGTTGCTTCTTGTCCCATTGCTTGGCACCACCGAGCAGAGCCCAGACCCATCCTCCTGACGCATTTCCTCCAGATACTGATAATGATGAGGTCCTCTCTCAGCCATCTCTTAAGGCTGACCAGGCCATTCTCCTTGAGGTTTTGCTTCTATGAGAGATGCTTCAGTCCCTTACATCACGTTTGTCACCCTTGGTTGGATGTTGGACCTCCATGTCTTTTCTGTGGTCAGCCTGGGTGACACGGAGCTCTTAGCCAGGCAGTCACGGTTGCGGTTCTGCCCTTGCTGCACAGGGATCGGGAGTAGTTTGTTCCAAGATCAGGCATTGCCAAATGCATCTTCTCCTCAAGTGGCTGAGCATGGATCTGTGCTGCTGAGGGGGGAACATACTCTAGACCTCTGAGGCAGAGCTATCTGTGAATAAGTTTCCTCCAGGAATAGTGTTTTGAAAAGAAAATCTGAGATCTGTTGTGTGTGAGATGCTGGATACAGCAGAGTGGAAAGAAAACACAACCAAAATGGTTTTAAAACTAAATAGTACTTTCCATGAAAATATAGAATCCACAGAGTTCATGCAGCAGAGACTTCTAAGTGTAGAATTTGCCTAGTAGGCATGCTCTCAAAGCATACATCTGTCCTGTTGTAAGTTACCATTCTGAGAACTTTCAGATAAAATGGTCTGTGCGAAAGCTTAAGGACAACATGTAAGATTGGAGTCCAGATCAGATCTGTGGTTCTCTTGTATATCTGTGTTTGGAAAAAATGCCTCTAAGATGCACTTTGTGCACATCTGCAGTTCCAGATGTACCTGCCACTCATGCAGCATTGCTGAGGTGAGGTTGCAGTTGACAAGCACGTTTAAAGTGATGGATTTGACAAACTGATGGGCTTTGGTAAGAGTATCCCACACTGCATTTTTCTTCTCCTGTTCCTGTGTATCACCCAAAATGCTTTGAACTGTCAGACTGTTTAAGCTTCCCATCTGAAAAGATCAGGAGAGAAGAAGAATCACCTCTGGGAGGCTGGAAAAAGTCCGTTTTAACCTTGGTGGTTTGATGGTGAAGATTGACGCGCTGGGGCAGGCAGTGGCAGGCACGCACGGGAGTGGTGAGGAAGGTGGCAACTTCCCCAGCCAGTGAATCATAGCTGCTCTCAGGCATTCCTGAAAGCATGGTAAGCTGTAAAACCTCTGCTGGACCTTGAGGCAGTGACTTCAGTGCA